CCATATACCATTCAGACTTGGAACTACATTTCCAGTCCTGCACTGTTGCTGGGTCAAAATCCTGGAATTTCCTTCCTTACAAGTCCAAGAACTGCAGTGGTTCAAGAAGGCAGCTCACCACCGTACCTTCCAGGGCAATAGTGATGCTCACATCCCATGAGCAAATAAAAAAGAAGTTGAGAGAAGAGTGATGTTTTTCTGTGATTTCAATATCTGTAACAGATACTGCTGGGAAACAAGATGGAACCTTGTTCTGCTGTTTAAGCAAAACTTTCCAAACTGTCTTATCATATATAAAAACTTTGTTAGCTCTTATCTTGTGTAATAAACTCACAATTTTTGCTAAAGAATATAAGCACTCAAGTAGCCATTACAAAAATCAAATTTATGATTTGTCAAGCTAGCTTTCAATTGAAGATCTGATTTGTCCTGTATTACCATTGGCTGGGATCATAAAGCAAGATTGAAAATCACTGAATTTAACAAGGATTTGTTTCTCTTTTACAGAAACAAACACATGGAAGTACTGGACATAAAACAGGAGTATCTTGATGAAGCAGATTACAGATTGGATTTTCAAAGTGGCTTTGAATGTTGCTGGGACTGTTCGGGGGTGGAAGACATGATAACAGATTAACCTTAATCAAAGACTTAAAATAAACTGAGTGTTGGCAGATAAACTGAAGGTAAGAATAAAAGCAGAATCACACCTGAATGAGATACTTAAAGCAATTATCTAGCATTCAGAACTGAAAGGAGGGAACCCTGAACTTGATGCATCATTGCCAAACTTAACTAAGATTCAGCTAGGATTGAAAACATTTGACTTAGAGAGTTAAAAAAAGAGATATTGAAAGATTTGAATGGAAAGAAAAAAAAAAGCGTAGGAAAGAGCAAAGGAAAGAGAAGTGAATGAAAAGTGAAGTGCAATAAAAAAGGAGAATACAACGAACAGGAAAATGGAATTTAAAACACATGAATACCAAAAAGAGATAAGGAAATCTGACGTGACTTGACAAGAGAAAAGGTTACAGTAAAGGAAAAAAGAATGATTCCGATTCCAATGAGGGATGTGATTTAATTAGAAATCTACATTTGCCATTCAAACGTACACAGGAAACAGAGTTGAAAGAGATTTCACCCCATTTAAAAAGGCAACTGGGAAGATGAAGTGGTCAAAAGATGTCCGGACTTTTAATATTACTCACTTTCACCTGGTCTATCTCTGACTCCTCCCTTCCCTTCCTCGACATTTCTGTTTCCATTTCTGGGGATAGACTGGCTACTAATATCCATTACAAACCCACCGACTCCAACAGCTACCTGGACTATACATCCTCACACCCCACTTCCTGTAAAGACTCCATCCCATTTTCTCAGTTCCTCCGTCTCCGTCGCATATGTTCAGATGAGGCCAACTTTGACAAGGGAGCCTCTGAAATATCCACATTCTTCCTCAACCGAGGATTCCCCAGCTCCGTTGTCGACAGGGCTCTCAATCGTGTCTGACCCATCTCCCGCACTTCTGCCCTCACCCCTTCTCTTCCCTCCCGCAACAGCGATAGGGTTCCCCTTACCTTCACCTACCATCCCACCAGCATCCACATCCAGAAGATCATCAGACACCATTTCCGCCACCTCCAGCAAGATGCCACCACCAGACACATATTCCCCTTCCCTCCCTTGTCCGCCTTCCGCAGTGACCGTTCCCTCCGGGACACCCTGGTCCACACTTCGTTCACCCCCAACACCTCCCCACAGCCCTACGGCACCTTCCCCTGCAACTAGCGAAGGTGTAACACCTGCCCATTTACCTCCTGCCTCCCCAGTATCCAAGGGCCCAAACATACCTTCCAGGTGAAGCAACACTTCACCTGCACTTCCAAGAATCTAGTCTACTGCATTCGCTGCTCACAATGTGGTCTCCTCTACATTGGGGAAATGAAGCGTAGACTTGGTGACCGCTTCGCAGAACATCTACGTTCTGCTTGCAAAAAAGACCCTGAACTACCTGTTGCCCGCCACTTCAATACACCACCCTGCTCTCTGGCCAACATCTCTGTCTCTGGCTTGCTACAGTATTCCAGTGAAGCCCAATGCAAGCTGGAGGAACAACACCTCATTTTCCACTTGGGGACCCTCCAGCTCTCCGGACTCAAAATTGAGTTCAATAATTTTAGGGCCTAAACTCTCCCATGTCCCAGACTCCCACCCCACACACCAGGCCTTGTTACCACATAGCCTGCCACTACACACCCCCTGTTGTTAGTCACTAACAGTCCCCATTAACAACTATTCACCCTCTCAGCCTGATCGTTAGCAACTCCTTTGTCTGTCCAACTGTCTTTCTCTCTTTGGGCTCCATCTTATCGTTTACTCCCTACCTCACCCACCTCCCTATTTTCTGCATATAAACTGACGTTTTCCCAGCCACCATCAGTTCTGAGGAAGGGTCACCGGACCCAAAACGTTAACTCTGTTTTCTCCTCCACAGATGCTGCCACACCTGCTGAGCTTTTCCAGCAACTTTGTTTTTGTTTTAATATTACATATCTTCTTGACAGATAAAGTTATGTTTACTCCAGTTTGTTTTTCTGACAATGTGCAGACTACAAAACTTAAAAAGAAAGCCACTGAATGCTTATAAGCTTATTCTTAAAACTTATCAATTAAAATTTAGGATTATAAGAAAGAAACTTAATTAGATAACTGGAGAATTTACAAGAAAATTAAAAATGGGATCAGTGATTTTGAACGCTGAAGTTACAGGGGAAAAGAAGAGAACACCAGGTACTGCTTTTGATAGCATTCCTTTCGTGAATGGAATTTTTAAAGACAGATTTCTTGAGACATACTGAAAGCAGATTCTTTGAGTCAAATCAATGAAACTATATAAAACGATGATCAACAGTTGATCACCAAGAAAAAAAAACAAATCTAATCAAGTGACTTGGGTGCTCCAACATAAAACTTGACTTCTAAATATGTGCCACAAGAAAGTTTTGTAATCTTTTTATTTTATAATCATCTGGAATATTTCAAATCATATATCAAGATTTTATTATGTTGGTAGTTTTCATGAGAAGTGGCCAAATCACTGTACTCTACATCCTTGATGGAAGAACCAGCAAATAACATCAACTCTGTAGTTCTCTTAAGAAACATTTATATTTGATTCTTCTATAAATCCACAGCAGACGCCATTTCCCTAGAGTTGCACTCATCCCTGGAACATCTGGACAACAAGAATACCTATGTTAGACTTCTGCTCATTGACTACAGCTCCGCCTTGAACACCAATATCCCAAAACTGATCTCAAAACTCCATGACCTAGGTCTTGGCCCCGCCCTCTGCAACTGGATTCTTAGCTTTCTGACCCACAGACTGCAATCAGCGAAGCTAGACAATTGCACATCCTCCATGTTAACACTCAACACTGGAGCCCCACAGGATGCGTTCTCAGGCCCCTACTATACTCTCTGTACACGGACGACTTTGTTGCCCAATTCTAAACGAATGCCATTGACAAGTTTGCTGACGACACCACTGTGGTAAGACGGATATCAAACAATGATGGGGCACGAAACACAGAAAGGAGATACAGGGCTTGCTCACATTGTTCAATGATAACAACCTCTCTCTCAATGTCAGCTAAACTAAAGAAATGATCATTGAATTCAGAAAAAAAGGAGAACATGCCCCCGTCTACATCAATGAGGCTGAGGTTGAGGGGGTTGGGAACGTCAAGTTCCTAGGAATGACAATAACTGACAACCTGTCCTGGACTTCCCATGTACAGGCGACAGTCAAGAAGGCACAACAACGCCTCTTCTTCCTCAGGCAGTTCAGGAAATTTGGCATGTCCTCAAGGACCCTCACAACTTTTACAGATGCACCATTAAAAGCATACTGTCCGGGTGCACAACGGCCTGGTATGGAAACTGCTCTGCCCAGGTCCATAAGAAACTACAGGAAGTTGTGTACACAGCCCAGATCATCACGGAAGCCAATCTTCCATCCACGGACTCCAGTTACACAGCTTGTTGCTGTGGAGAGGCTGCCAAAATCATCAAAGACCCATCCCACCCTGGTAATGCTCTCCTACAACCTCTTCCGTCAGGGAGAAGATACAGAAGCTTGAACACACGCATCAGCAGGTTCAAGAACAGCTTCTTCCTGCTGTTATTAGACTGATGAATAGACTAACTTCAAATAATGCTCATCTTGCTAATTTTGATCTTGCCTAGTACATGCCCTGTGGAATGTAACCTGTATGCCTCTGCCCAAGTTTTTTTTCACCCTATTAATCTGCATGTCCTTGCTTACTGTGATCTGCCTATACTGTTCGTAAACAAAGCTTTTTACTGTACTTAGGTACATGTGACAATAAATCAAATCATCATCAGTAGGGAACCAAAGGGAACAGGTAATAGGTAAGATAATAAAATGATGCAGTTAATTCAAGAACTGAACGAAATTCAAAAATGCTAAATATAAACTCCAGTACTTTTCCAGCCATCAAAGTTTTGTTTGCATTTATTTTCTATGAAAAACTGACTCAATGTGGTTATATTTACACTTGCAGATATTTACTGATTGTTAGCATACATTTTCTTGCTGACAGTAATACAAAACCATTGCAGCAGCCAAGGTTTTCTATATATATCACATAACAGGAAAAGGTGCACAATGATATTGCAAAATCAAATCATTGTTGTAATGGGGTCAGATGGATTTTACTGAAAAACAATTATTTTCCTGATATTTACCTTCAATATATAAATGTAAAAATGTTAATTCTTCTGACATGATCATAGTTTAAGAAGGCTGAAAAATATCTTTTTGTTTGCCAATGAAACTTTAAATGGTCAATGTTTCAAGTTCTACTATATTTATAAGTTGTCTGCTTTTTCACCAGAAATCCTCTGTTGATTTACAAAATATTTCCACACTTATCACCATATTATCAAAAGCATCAAAATCGTGCTGGTGATCTCACCTTTCCAGAGTACGCTGTCTACCACCTGCGTCTATAAAGGGATCCTCTGCATCTTCATCAGTATCACTGTTTTTACCTGTGTTACTGCCTCATGAGAAAGCAAAGCAGCAGCAGAAGCAAAGGAAAAAAAAACTTGTCAATTGTGACAAATAGGTTTCACATAAACATTACAGTAATCATTAACAAGAGATAATGACTAGGAATGCTTAGGATTTTTTTAGCTTGAAATCATACAAATCAGTCTAAAAGGCTACTGGTTTGAAGCTTGTTTTCAATGATATGACTCTTTCTTGAACTTACTGCAAATAATTCATGTCAGAGTTGAATACTCTGATTCATTCATTAGCTCTACCAATTTAAACTAGTTATTTAAATTCATACTCTTTATAATTATTTTATATGACAATGAAAATAATTTAAACTGATGCTCAGCTCAAGAAAAATGTCAAAACATTTGGAAACCACAGAGCTTCAAATACCCAATTCTGGGTTTTAACCTGACCTGATGTTCAATGGTGATTCTATGACTCAGAAGTAATTGAAATTTTTTTTGCACATGGGTCTACTTTCAAGTCTTCGCTCAGTTCTTTACTATTACCACTTTAAGGATTACTCATGTACAGGTATGAACAAATGAGGTACTTACACTTTTTGAACGTCATTCTTTTTGCTACCTGAAGAGTGCAACCCTGAAATACTCTTCTCTCCCTGTGATGGACTGACACACCAGAGTAGAAAATAAACAGAACAAACAGTATTAGATTATGCAAAGAAGAGAAAGAGAACAGGTCAATAATGAGGTTGGTTGCTACAAGACATGCAAAATGTCATTCATTCGAGATGTTTAAGTTAGAAAATGTTGACAAACAATGTCTGTTAGAAGCATGCCCTATGAAAAATGGAAGTATTGCATTAAATAAATAAACTAATGTTTCAAAATGTGAATCAGTTAAAAGATTCAAAAAGGTGCATTCATGTCGTATGTTTCATACCCATCGGACAGCTCAAACAACTTTACAGTCAGTGCAGTTCACTAATATCCTAAAAGGAAACTGCCATCCTTACCTAGTCTGGATTCGGACTCCAGATCCACAGCAACGTGGTTAACTCTCAACAGCCCTCTAGAATGGGCTATAAATGCTGGCCTAGCCAGTGGCACCCTCATCCATGAATGAATTTAAAAAAGTACTTTTTGAAGTATAGTCACTGTTGTTATAGGAAACCCATCAGCTAAAATGTACACAGCAAACCTTGACAAACAGAAATATGATATGATCAGTTAACCTGCTTTCCTGGTGTTGATTGAGGGTTAAGTATTGGTAAGGACGTTGAGCATTACTCCCCTGCTCTGCTACAAAACGGTGCTGTAGGATCTTTTACAACCACCCAAGCAAGAAGACAGGGCTTACCATCTCAGCCAAAGAATGACACCTCCAGTACTGAGGGAATGATAAACTGAATAACAGTTTTGATTTTTGTATGCAATATCAACTGAAAATCTTGGAGAATCGGGTGTCATCTTTGGCAGAAGATAGGGTTAGCATTTCAGATAACTAAGCTGTTACTAGAAATGGCAAATATGAACAGTTTTTTTAGGAGGATGCCACTGGCAGAAAAACAGATGAAAGGCTATGATTAGGTCAAGGGGCTTAAATCTAGAACCTGGTGGCTTGGAAGTGACAGCACTATCAACTGGACTACAACTGACCAAACTAGACCAGTATAATTCTAGAGAACTAGAAACGAGGAGCTACCAATTCCATAACACCATTGATTCAAAATGTTGACAAATTTATTTATTCCACAGATACTGGCTCTGAAGCCTAATATTTTCTGAGGTGCATATCAGAGTGTGATGGTGGTAGTGGTTGTAGTATGAGGGTGGAATTGATCATAAATACGGTCAGGAAACCCTGAAGCATGGGTTTTCTTAGATGCCCTGCAGTTTAGCTACAGTCAAAGATTTGTTTTCTGCCCAGTTTCCCATCGGATTTGAAGCCTGTATAACTGGAAAAGCGGTCAGTTAGTTCAGCTGGCTGGACAGATGTTTACGATATCGAGTGATATCAACAATACTGGCTCAGTACTGCGCTGGCTATGGCTACCATGACGGTTCCTCCTTCTCAACCTCTCCCCTCGCCCGAGGCATGGTGAACCCTCAGGTTAAATCACCAACACGTATCTCTCTCCAATGTGAGAGCAGCCCTATGGTTCTCTCAGACTATGGTGACTTTACTTACAACTGGGAAAGTTGTGGGCAGTTTTAATTGTATTGAGGCTGGGGGAGGAGAAGAGTTTGGGACATGGATTGGAAGCATAGTGGAGTTGGGGATAGCCATATATAATGGAGCAGTGGGAATATTCAAACCTCTCTTGTGCCTGGAAAAAAAATTCCTCCTCCTTATGATCCATAAGCAGTGTTACAATTCCACTTATGAATACAACCATATATATCTTCTTTTACTTGTCACATTTCCCAAGACCTCACAAAGCAGACTAAAAATGACTAAACAAAACTGTCCAATTCATCTTCTGAGAACCCTCATTCCCATCCCAAACCTGTGCACATTCTGCCCTTTGCTATAAGCTTTCACAATTCTCTGGGTCTCTGGTGCATCTTTTAAATCTCCACTCTCATTCATCATTGCTTCATTTAGTCTAGCATCATTATCTCTTCTGTCAATTAATCAGTTCCTGTCCTTGACCTAATCATAGCCTTTCATCTGTTTTTCTGCCAGTGGCATCCTCCTAAAAAAACTGTTCATATTTGCCATTTCTAGTAACAGCTTAGTTATCTGAAATGCTAACCCTATCTTCTGCCAAAGATGACACCCGATTCTCCAAGATTTTCAGTTGATATTCTATTAAATTTGTGGGTTCTCAAAAGCATATATCAAGGTTGCCTGTATGATTGTACAACTATATTAACTGCTAACAATACAAGATTTCCCATTGCTCACATTCTTATAAATAAGCCAGTTGACTTCAGTGACTTTCAACCATGGAAATGCTGGACTGGGTTAATAATCCAGACATGGGTACAATGCAACCAATGTCCGAACAACCCAGATCAAAAACAAAGAAGACAGGGAGATGGTTTGTGGCGATATTATACAGTCAAAGCAATTGAGGGACTTTTCTTACAGGTTTGTTGTTGGCAATTATTCCAATAAACTGTTCAAATGCAGTTGGTTGGCTGCCAACATAAGACTGTGGCTGCACTGTAAGGTGGTACAATAACATTTCAGTTTATGTTAAAATAAACAGTAACACCACTGCTAAAAGTCATTATAACCAAGCTTGTCAACAAACATTCCCAAGTTTACTACCAGATAAAGCATCTTACAAATCTTTTCAATTGACAATTACGTTCTTTTACAGCTAAGATATCGCACTGAGTTGAGCTTCTTTTTTGAAAAAAAAAGAGTTGTGGAAGAAACTATTTAAGTCAAATACTATAAATTCGTTACCAAATGCTACACATTATGCTTGATGAGACCTTTTAAGAACAACAGATAAGCAGTAGCACCTCCCTATTTACAATTTACTCAAATGATTAAGTATAATGCTCACCTTTGTCCCTCTGTCAATTTGACTCATCCAAAACTCTGATGCATGCATTCTGACTCAAAAGAAGTCCCCCTTGCACTTCACAGCTATACTCAACTGACCCACATTAGTTCATGGTCAATCAATGGCTCAGTCCTAAAATTCTGATCTTAGCATTCAAATCCCATAACAGCCTTGCCACTCTTATCTCTGTCAACCTCCTCCAGCTCTCGCTATCTCTAAGCTGACAGTACTACTTCATCTCTGGCCTCTTGTGCATCTCTAGCTTTTATTGCTCCACCGTTAGTGACCGTGTCTTTGAATTTCTAGCTCTGAGGCTATGGCATTTTTCCCTAAACCTTGCCCATAAAACCTACTCCTTTGATCAAGATTTTAGTGATCTGTCCCAATTACTCTTTGGGTCAAAGTCAAACTCAAACTTTATCTGCTACTACTCCAGTGAAGTGCCTTTGGATTTAAAGTGGCTACATTAATGCAATTATCTGCTTTCTTTACTATATCTGTATCTTTGCTTACCAGGCATAGATCTTCATTTGCTCAGGCAATGGGTCATCAAAGAAGGAGTCTTCATCATCGAGGCATATCTTTTCATTTTTCTTTAACTCTGGTAGACTGGATGCTGTGATAGGAATGAAGTCTTGATTTGGCTCACCAGTAGAAAGATTGGTTGTACTTTTAACTTCACCTGAGGCTACACTGATATCGCCAAAGCTGATATCAGTTAACTTTGGAAAAGAAGTAAAAATACAACTATATAAAACCAATGAATTAAGTGGATTAGAACACATCTTTAAACTAGCAAATTTCTAGAATATACTACCTATTGATTAACAAGATGCCCAAATATACAGATGGAATACTATAATATTCTAATTATAAAACAATGACTACATGTATGTGTTAACTAAGAGATGATACAACTATGACAAAAAAATCTAGGCTTCCATTCATTCTATTTTTGTTGGGTTAAACATATTACTGGAATACTGAAGGTGCCTGCATTAATATAGGAGTTAGTTTTGGGTGCTTCATTAAACCTAAGCTTTTGCAGGTCTAGGTTGGAAGGTGAAGAATATTGTAGATTACAAAATGCAGAAATTTCCAAAACTACTATAATTATAACAGCATCAACTGCGGCCTTTTCTTAATTCTTAACACAATGCACAGTTGCTAAATCTTTTGCAGATCTCGGAGCACACAAAAATTTGAAAGAAATATTTATATTGATTTCTACTATGCAGAATTCCAACTGATTTGTGGCTGATATCAGTATGTTATTGTATTCCTTCGAAGCGATAAATCTGTGTAAGGAAGATTCAGATTGGTGCATTAAAGGTTATGCTTGAATCATTTGGGCTTTGGTACCTATAACTAGAGTTTCATCAGGCATTTTTAAACAATGCAAGATAGTATGTGACACGCTACTTGACAACGGCCTGCTTGTCACAGACAAGAAGCACCATCAAATATTTTTTGATAGTTCAAATGAAACCTTAAATGTTAGAAAATCGAATACTTCATTGAATACATAATATCTACAACATTGAGATGAAGGGACAACAGAAGACTAAACTTTGTACAACAGTATAGTTGATTGTTCACCTGTAGTAGTGCCTTAACAATTAGCACAGATCAACAGACAATATTGAACCGGCAATGAAGCTAAATGCAACAAAATGTAAATACCAGGGTACACCACATCACAACATGTTAACAATCAGAGTGCCAAGTCTTATTATGAATTTAAAGGTTATTAAAGAAAGTTTAAGATCATATGAGCAGCTTAGCACAATTGTGTGGTTTTTCACAAATGCATTATGGAGTAACAGCCCAGTATCAAAATAGTTTTCATTAAAACAAATGATAGTCATCAAACATTATCATTTCTGAAATGTATCAATAAGATTGCATATGTGGGAAACTCACTGATCTACCCCGGCGTGCTATATTCTAGAGATAAACTCGTGCTCTTAAATTGATCTCATTATTTTCACAATTTACATAAACTTTAGTAACCAAATTATAAAGCATTTACGCAAATTGTAAAATATCTAGATTTTCTGAAATATCTACTGGTAGTCCCAATATGCTTTTTAAAGTATCTGCATGCCATGCCTGTGTTAAGGGTAATGTTTGAGCCACAACCAGATTTGTAACAACATACAGTTACCTTCTCACCAGTTTTCTCCTCGCTCTCTTTAACTTTATCAGTTCCTTTGTATCTAGGTATCTGAACATAAACATAAAAAAAGTAACTAATATTACAGTTAGCAATTAATGAATGACTCCGTATAGGCAGCAGGTGAAAAGGTGAAGTTTTGATAACAAATTCTAACGATGGAATTTACTACCTACCAAGCACAAAAGCAATTGAGAGAACAGAAATTGAGAATCTAATATTTACAGCCTTGTACAATGATAGTGAAAGCTGCAAACTAAATCTAAACCTAAACAACTAAACTACAGATAAAGCGCACCATGCTTGTTTGTGAGAATATTTACTTATATTCAGCTTCAAAAATTCTTTAAAACGTGACGATTCAGGGAAAATGAGATGGAATGCAACACTGACCTCCTCATCCTTGACAGGAAAGCATAAAATAAATTTGGAAAATCAGTGAAGAAAATAATACTTCAGAATACAATTAATGAACCACACAGTCACAAGAGTATAAAGACTTTGATGACTCCAATAAAGAGAAAGAAGTCAGATTTCTTTTTATTTGTTCACAGGATGTGATGTTGATTAAATGGCGAGCATCTATTGCTCACTCCTAATTATTCATAGAAAGGTGGAGTGAGCTATTTATTTAATCCGGTGCAGTTATTCTGATGTATGTAGGTTATATTCTACAAATACTTACACAAAATATTACCAGCTAGAAACGTTTATAAACGTTCCTTCTTGCTACAGGGCAATCGTAATTTTCAGAATTTTAAACCATGAGATGAGGGAGAAATCCATTCAGGGAGTTGAGGGCAATGGTGGTGGTGGTGGTTGTAGTAGTTGGGGAAAGTGGGGGGGCCTTAATGAATCTAAGCCTACTAGCAGATCAGCCATCATCTCAATATATAAAACTCTCAAATCCCTGTTTTTCAATTGAATTTTAATTTCCATTTCAAAAGAGAACCTGCACTCATAGCATTCTGAATTTGTTCCCATCTCCTTCACCATCCATTGCTTAGTCCCTGAATGGCCTTAATTGGAATGAGGCCAGAATTTATTGCCCATCCCCAATTGTCCTTAAGGAGGTACTGATGAGCTGCCTTCTTGAACCACTGCAGTCTATATGGTGTATGTACACTACAGTGTTTACAGGAAGGGAGTTCCAAGATTTTGGCTCAGCAACATTGAAGGAACAGTGATATGTTCCAAGTCAGGATGGCGTGTGGTTTGAGGAAAACCTGAAGATGGCAGAGTTACAACTTATCTGCCCTTGTCATTACAGGTGGGAGATGTCCTGGGTGTGGTAGCTGCAGTGTAAGGACTTTCATCAATTGTTGCGATTCATCTTCTGGATAGTACACACTGCTGACACTCTGTGCTAGTGGCAAAAAGAGTGATGTTAAAGGTGATAAATGGAATAGCAATCTAATGGGTTGCTTTGTCCTGATTGGTGTTGAGTTTCTTGAGAGTTGCTGGGGCAGCACTCAATAACACTCAAGAAGCTCGACATCATCCACTCTGAAAAAGGGTCATAAACCGAAATGCTAAATCTCCACAGATGCTGCCTGAGCAGCTGAGTATATATTTTTTAAAAAGTCCACTTTGTGATGAAGGATCACATTTTAAAGCAGTATGAGACAGAATGGCTGGTGGTGGTCTCATTTTGTTTCTGTAACTGCAGTGATGACATTTATCCTCTCTTTTGGCACAAATAGCAGATTTTCCCCAAATGGAGGGACTGCTTTTGAACATTTATAAGGTATTTAATTGCCACCATAGATCAATCTTTCCCTCCACCCATTCATTCCTAAAAATCTGCTATTTTCTATCAGTAACATCTATGTTTCATTCCCTTAATCATTTCTTATTGCCTGATAAAGAATCCAGAGCTTGGGGCACAACAAGTGGAGATGTCAGCTGGCCCTAACCATTCTGTGATCAATCATTGCAATCAAAATAAATAACAGATTTTGTCTGCATTCTTAACATTCATTTTGTATTTCTGGAAACAATTCAAAACCTATAGACTACAAGGTGTTTTGCAAAGGAGAGCCCAGCAGGATATCTAACTTGCTAATTGTGTTATTGCAGATTTCATATTGCACCATAAATAAGCCATGCCGCTAAAGATTGATTGCACACACAAAATTCATACTGCAAATACAGCAGTTTAAGGATGTTGAATCATTTGTCAAGGCTGACCCTTCTGCCACTAAACATTCAGTTTTCTAGCTTTTTATTCATAGTGAGGTTAGTTTAGAAACTGCAGCAAGTTTCAGGGTCTGAAGTGACATCATCCAGTTTTTGCTGATCTACACTTGCTTTCAATCCCACAAAATCTCAATTTAAACAACATGGATTATATGGCATCTCTAACATAGTAAAACATTCTAACAGTCACAGGAATGCCATCGACCTAGGTTTGACAGTCACGTAAGATATAGTACAGATATAGATAAGATATAGGCTGGTTATCTGGCATGTATGGGGAATGGGATGGAGTAGGGGCTGGTTTACAGGAATCTGCTCATTGTATGAGAAATAAACTCTTAGAGGACCAACACAGTACACTCTAATCTTAAATTTTATATCTCAATTTACTCACTAAGTTCTGGAAACTCTGATAGTATTTCAACATGGTCATCAATAGAACTAGTGCTGGCATCTTCAGCAGCAGCAGATGATGTTGAGGGCTGAGGAGATAGGAACTTAGTCCTAGCAACCCTCTTGAATAAATTCCTTATATCAGCCTGCTTGCATGCGCTCATGCTCTCATGCAGAAATTGGGAAGACAGGAGTGGAAACTGCATTACAGTTTGTGCAGTAAAGCAATATTGATGCTCAACAAGTTTCAGGCCATTTTCAGAATCTTCAGCAGCAGTCCATCATGAAACACTTTCAGCCCTGCTCCCCCACGTCATCACTTTCCTCTTCTTAAATTTTAGATCTGTCACAAAACACTGTTCATAATTTCTTCTGTATTTAAAGGCATTGTAATAGGACCATCGTTGTCAACATCCAAACATTCATCAAGTCCATTTCTGGAAATGTTTTTGACAGCACGAGCACAGTTCACCAATTCCATGATTTCTTCACGCAGAGTCTTCATTTGTTTGCTTTCTTACACACACAATCCTTCAAAAACATCTTCCTCAGACAATCCTTTTTCAAACATTATGAGACAGCATTGGTTTCACCAGCATTTTCACTTTTCACCTGGTTCCATGACCTGTAAAAATGGCTTCGCTAATACAGTATCTGGACTGAAATTCGTTAATTTTTCCTTTGTGGTTTGTCAGTTTTCCGACCAAATCACATTGGTAAAACATTTTCAAAATACTGGATCGCATCCTAATCCATTGGATGAATGAAACTTATCACATTAGGAGGGAGAAACACACAAAGATCTTGCCTTTAACAAAGTCTTGCTTTCTTCAGGCATTCCCATGTTTTGCAAATGTGCCTTTACACTAGGCACAAAAACATGATGAAACCATCATGTAAAAATTACTGCATCTATTCAAGCATCACTTCATAATCAAATGGAAGATGAATTATGCCTTTGGAACATCTTTGTTATTGGAAAGTGTGCAAAACTGTCAATTCCACCTTATACATTCTCATGGCATTCCACACACAAGCATGGTTATACGGTGATAGTAGGAACTGCAGATGCTGGAAAATCTGAGATAACAAGGTGTAGAGCTGGATGAACACAGCAGGCCAAGCAGCATCATAGGAGCAGGAAGGCTGACGTTTCGGGCCTAGACCCTTCATCAGAAA